GCTGCGCCTTGGCGAGAGCATTTCGGGGGTGCTGGGATCGTCCCGAACGGCCGCGGGAGACCCGAGTTACGACCCAGAAGCCAAATTCGCCGGCGCGCCCAAGGGGAACTGAGAACGAGAGGGCCTTCTCAGAAAACCGCGTGGTTTTTCAGAAGACCCCGCGCCTTCCGAGAAGTCTTCTGCGTCTTCGAAGGAGACCCAGGAAACTTTTCAGAACGCGGGGGGGATTTCCGAACCTTCTGAGAAACCCCGCCCTTTCTCATTTCCCCTTGGCTCGCCGCCGAGAGATGCCCGAGGGTAATTACACGCATCGAGCAAATCGCAGCGCTGATGTCTGGAAGCTCGGCGTCGTGCGCTCCAGGGTTCGAGGCTCGAGGGGCGAGGACTCGAGGACTCGGGGGCCGAGGCTCGAGGACTCGAGGATCGAAGCTCGAGGATCGGCGCTCGGGGATCGAGGTTTTGGGAGGTCCTCGCTCGCCGCCGAAGTGGCGCGGTGGCGGCAACGCCGTAGCCCGCTCCGCTGGCTGCGGGGGGCCGCTGGGCAGCTGGAAAAGCGCTCTGGGCTGCGGGAGGGGCGCGGGTGCACGCGCGGCGGGGCGCTGGCGTGGGCCCCATGCAAGGCGCCCCCGCGGAGGACGGGCAGGGGCCCGGCAGGCCCCGAGAGAAAGGCCGCGAAGGTTTGGGCGAACGCGAACTCGGACCCAGGATTGGGTCGGGCATGTCCTCCTCCAGGCGGATGTGGGAAACTATATTTGAATGCTCCTCCTGTGAAAGTACATGCCCGACTGCGACACGCGCAGAGCGAGAGGTCAAGCGCCTCGGCGGCGCCGTGCCCAGCTCAGGCGCGTGCGCCTATTTAGGGGTAGAGGCGGGGGGAATCGCCACACACGACCCGCACAGGTGAGTGCAGGAATGCGCGTGGCGGGCGGCTGCCTCCGCGAGCGTCATTGGCAGCATACCGCATGACGGGGCGGTGCCACCCGGGGCCCAGGCAGTGCGGCTCACCCCCGTAGCAGCGACCTGATAAATTGCCGGCCTGACGGCGGGGCATGCCTGACTGAAGCCTGGGACAGAAGAACGCCCTTCACGCGCGGGGGCGCGCCCCCTCTCGGGGGCGCGCATACATGGATTAGCGATCCATGGATTCGGCGCGCTGTCGCCTAGTCCATGGATCGGGGGATGTGCCCTCCCCGGAGTGCGGCCGGTGCCGCCTCCCTCGGCGGCGGGAACCCGAGACTTCTGATGGAAACAGGACCCGTCGCCAATCCACGCCCCCTTTTGCTCCATGCTTGCATTCGCCTGGCCCTCGAGAGCGGCGGGGCCGCGCCCGAGGGCGCGGGCTCGCCGCGCTGCTGGCGGCGGCGGGCGGAGCGGCGGCGGCCCGCGCGGGGGCGGCGGCGGAGCGGGCAACGGGCCGCGGAGCGGCCGCGCCCCCGGGGGCGCGGCAGGGGACGGCGCCCCTCCGGGCGGCTGCCTCTGGGCTGGCGGGTGGGCTTGTGCGTGTCAGCTGCAGCCGTCTCGGCGGCAGAACCTGGTGGGCATGTGCAGTCAGGCGCCGGCGTGAGGCTCGAGAGCCCGCGAAGGAAGCGGGGGTGCAGGCAGTGTTGCCCCAAGTGCCCACGGACGGCCCTCGGCTCAACGTTCCCGAACACAGCCCCCTGTTGGAGCCTCGTCCGAACGACCTCCGACAGAAAAGCCTGATCACGCTAAGCGACTCACGTGCCTGAAGGGCATGTAGCCCAAACGTGCGAGCAAGCAGTGCGCGGCCTGGAAGTAACACCTGGAATAACCCACGACAGAATTCAATGCGATGCAGTGCGATGCCTTGCTGTACCCTCTGTGCGTCGCGATGATACTGCAACGCCATGATATGACATGGAACACGTCGTTGCACTACACATTTGATTTGACAGGAACTGCCACGCTTAGTCAACAAGCCGGTCCAGGCCTGGCCCCCAACACAGCGCCGTGCGAACACCCGATGAGAAACACCGCGCACTTCGCGGGCGCTCAGGCTCGATCTGCCTGGCAGCCTGGCGTACAGACCGGGCGAAAGGTCGTGCCCCAGTGCACGGGAACAGTTGGTCTCGACGCCATTGCGCTCGTTGCTGAAGGAGCGATTCGGGTTAGAGCTCGGGTCTGTCACAGTCGGGCTCAATTGGACAGGACGCGCGAGAGGACACAAGACCCTTCCATGGGCCACATTGCCACAGGAATGCAGGAGGCATGGGTCGCGAGGCACAGGACACAAGGGTACTCTTGATTGGGGAGGGTCGACCCACCAATCAGGGCCGGCTGCAGGGAGAGGGGCGAACCCGTATCGGATGTTGCTAGAAGTGCCCCCGGCAGGGTGCCACCAGGATGTCCAAGGAGGCCCCCGACGGCCTCCGAGGCACCCCTCACGAGGCCCAGGGGGCCCAGCGGCTCCAAAATGGAGCGACCAGCTGGGGTGGCAGCCTGGGCCAGGGGCACCTATGGCAGCCCACGACCGTACAAGCACGTGCACGCGAGCATTGTGCGAACCCTTCGCTTCTCCCTGCCGCTGTGCCGCACGCCCCCGCACTCTCCACCGAGACAGGCAGTTGGCGATGGGGAGGAGGGGGGGGGGGGGGAAAGGTGGGGCACGGAAGAGGAAGCGGATGAGAGATCATGGAGGAGAGATGAGGAAACGAGTGGGAAGGCTCAAGGGCGATGATGGAAGGGAAAGGGTGGACGCGGAGGAAGAGGATGTTGGCGACGAGGAAGGAGGGGGGAAGGATGAGGACAATGGGAAGGATGACGAGGAAAATGATCATGCAAAAGGTGAAGACTAATGGGGAGGAGGCGCAAGGATGCGGATTTCTGCAGCAGAGGTCAGCGAGGGCGATGCCAATGGCGCCAGTCTGACTGCTGACGCGGAAGTGGCGAATCGAGCAAAGCACAACGGAAGAGGAAGACGAGGATGAAGAGAAGGAAGAGGACTGGGCAACCAGCAGCAACTTCTGCGCCACAGGGCGAACGAGAGGAAGCATGATGGAAGAGGGGGGCGGCAGGAGTAATGCAATCTGTAGATGCGAAGTTAAATAAGGGAACGAGTGATGTACATATAAAATGCTCATCGATCGAGGGAGATATACACATGTATAAACGTGTATAGAAACACATGTATGCATACATATTGGGACCATCGCGGAGGAGGAGCGTGCGTGGTCAGTGCCATGACAGCTCTGCATAGCTGTGGCCCCGACCTGTCAAGGAACAGCGTGTACATTCGTCATGAAAAACGTGCGCCGAATGCTTGGAACTTCCAGCGCAAAGAACGACAAACAACACAAAAGCAGACGCGGCCGTGCAGCCTTTGCGTGGCACGGACGAAACGGGCGGCAAGAGCAACCGACGGACTCTGGAGGCGCAGGATAGGATAACGAGCGCAGCAGACAGCGTATATACCCTGCGGCGGGCTGCAAGAAAAACCACCGCCCATGTTTTCTTTAGGGCGGCGTCGAAAAACAAAGCAGCAACTGAAGGTCGAGGAGCCGAGGGATCAACGGAACGTTTTTGCCCAATTCCAGGACACTGCACGGCACGTCCGAGAGGGAACGTTCGCGACCCATCGTCTTCCTCGACCGTGAGGGCCAGGGCTCCAATAAGGGAGCCAAGACGTAGAGGAGGGCCCCCTCTCATCATATTCGGGTGGATGTGGATGGTCTCTCTCTCTCTCTGCATATCTGTTTTTTTTTCTCTCTCTCTCTCTGCCTCTTCCTCTCTGCGTTTCTTGCTTGCTGCGCTATCGTACAATAGCTGTGTGTCACGTCGGCTTGGCGGACTGCACCGTTTATGTCCCTGTACATGGATCGAGCAAGTAGGGCGGCGTCCCAGAGGAAGCTCTCCCAACGAGTGCGTGCACCGAGGTGTTTATTGCGCCTTGAGTTCTTGGGGGCCATGGGTTGTGCAATGAATTGCGCCATGCATCCTGCCCACAGAACCCGTTGCGCCCGCGCCGAGTATTGGCGAAACAAATTGTACCGTGGGTTGCGCCACAGGTTGATTTGGATTGTTTCGCGTGGCTTTAATTTTTGTATGAATTTCGCGTTGCCCGGCACTGTTTTGCATGATATTGCACTGCCTTGCGCTGCCCCGCGCAGATTGCATGCACTGCTCGGGGTCCGCGCTGACATCGCGCATTCCAATACATATTTTGGACCGATCAGGTGGTGGCGCGCACCGCCTCCAAACTTCCTCACGCCCCACCACCTCACCGAGACGACCCGCGAACCCACGCCAACGACCTGGGGCAGAGGACGCGAGCAAAGATGAGGACGAGGCTGAGGAGGGCGGAGCATTAAGGAGTGTCAGAGGTGGGCTGGATGGG